AGTCGACTTGGGACCGACCGTCCTGGCGATTGAGATCCTCTTGGGGGGGAGAGAGAGGCAATCTAATCAGGCGATCACTCTCATCCTTGCTATCACGTAAATACTGCTGTACCGACGTCGCCCTGAATGCAACAGCACCATTTCCAAGATCTACAGTCACGTCATGGCCATTGACTGATATAACTTTGTACGGTCCTGACCAACCATCTCCTTCGCGCCATACTTTGACTTCGCTCCCTGGTGCGAGATTAAGCGTTTCCGTGATAATTGGGCCGTTCCTGGTGTTAAGTGCGTCATTGACTCGTTGCTCTGCCACGGCACGTCTCAATTCAGCCATCGCCTTTCTCATTGCCTCAGCACGTCGAGCAGTTAACGCGGATGGGGGCGAGTCAGTTGTTATGCACGGGTAAGCACCAAAAACGAGTACAGTTGGAACTATTCCATCTGGTCCCACGGTATCATTGACGGCTTTAATAGCCATCTGGAGGATCACGTCCTTGTCGACGCTGGCGCCTAGTTCTGCCGATATAATGTTGTATGCTCTACGCAGTGATGCATGGTAACGCTTAACTTTCCCGATTGCATTGTGTGCTTCCACTGGCACTTGGTGACATTGGATTCCTATCATCTTAGCCTCAGTTTTGAATTCTAATGCGGCAAAATTGGTTCCTGCGTCGTGTGAGATGACATTAGGAGGGCCAAGATAGGTGTCAATCCACACTGCCCGGAGCGCTTCCCATGTATCTTTCGCAGATAAAGACTTCAAAAATCGTGCGGCCTGGAAGGACGTCGCCCAATCGACAACATGAAGCACTGGCTTGCTATCTAAATACATAACATCGACGACAATCTCATAGTTAAACTCACGATCGTCATTCAATGTGAATTTAAAGCGTCGTGGTGCCTGCCGGTTCATTTAGCAGTGATGGCAAAACTTCTCAATTTCTGCAAGATTGTTGTAATCCACATTGTCATGGCCTGCTCGTTTTAAAAGCTTGTGCAAGTGGTCAACCACAGGATGGCCAAACCGACAGTGAAGTCGTCTTATCTCAATCTCTGTGAGAAATGTTACTGGCGCCTGCTTCTTATCAAGGAAGAACCATGGGTGGCCTCGCTTTCTGATAATTGGGACCCGTACGTCTCCCTTTACCATGCAGTTCGCAATGTTATCTAGGTAAGCGCCATGTTTATCCATATCGTCTAAGCAAAGCAAGAATGGGGTTGGCGTGTTCATAATATGAAAATCAACATCACCAATTGGGGTTGTTATGGTAACAGCACCCTCAGAGTGAACACTCTCACCTTGGCCAATCGAATTGAGTGCTCTCCTGCACGGGTCTATCGACGGTATCTCTGGATAGCTTCTCTGCA